TGATTTTTTCTACTGAGACGTGTCAGTAAGCCACACTCAGCTGGAAGTTAATCAGGTCAACCTAAGTATATAGATAAACTTAGTTCATATACAGTTCTCCCTATGTTAGTGTGGGTTCACCCCAGGTGAAGTCAAATATACGAATCTCAGGTTGATTCTGAAAACACATGTTGTACCATGTGTACATTAAGTGGATGTCTTATTTTCAATACAACAAAATGAGCTTTAATTATCAGAAAAAATGCATTTGTCTCTGCTGAAACCTTAACACACTGAACACAAAAGAAAAAAGTGCTGTAAGTGTCCAGTCTCCATCTGTGCATGAAAGCAGCCTATATTCTTCCTAAATGTATATATAGGCATTCATATTTGAGATACTTAATAGAATATGAAAAAAAGACCATTTCATTTGCGGTCTTAAAAATGTGCTAGGTCTCTGAAAGCGGTGATGAGAAATAGAACAGTATGTACTTCTTTCACAGTATTGTGTGGAGAGCCACTTCAAAAGAATAACATTCCCCCTCTTGCCAGACAACCAGACGGATTACTATTCAAAGTGTATGATTTAATAATTTCACAGATTTCTGAGCCTTTATCATTAGGCACCACACATGCTCAGACCGTCTCCAGTGGAGCTCCTCCTGGGAGCCTTCAAAGCTGCCTCCTGTTCCTCATGTTGCCAGGACAGCAGACAGAGAACTAGCAGCACACCAGTCTGTGTCTCATAGCAACAGATTGGCTCTAGAACCCCATTCTGACCAATCAGGAGTGAGGCGCTTGTAGAGGAATCCCTGTTGTTGCTCCATTGCAATGTGTAGGAGGAGAGGGGGTGGAGTCACATGGTGTGTGGTACACAAAGCATCCTTCAGTGCAGAGTTGATTGTAAGAAAAAATAAATATAAAGAATAAAATAAAATAAATAATTTCATTGATCAAAAATCTTTGTCTTGACTCATTTTCAGTAAAAACTGATTCAATAAATAATATTAAAATCAATTTAACACACAATATACACAGAAAAACAGAAAATACAGTACAGGAAATACTGAAAAAAAACAGACAAAAGGTTAACAAGGAGCTGGAGCAGGAAATGAAAAATATTTCCTCTTTATCTCTTTTATTTTTCTTATTAGTGCTATTAGTGCTATATTACAGTGACTGTAATATAACATGTAAAAAGACTGAGGTGGATTTTGAACATGGAGATGACTAAATAATGACTGAATTTCTATTTAAAGCTAAAGATTTCCTTTAATATGCTCCAGCATGCTCTTGACTCCTGCAGTATGTGTCACTCACAAACAAAATATAGGTTCCCACCCACCTTCCCATACATAAATAATACATTGGGCCCAAAATAGCATTCTGATTTACAGGAATCAAGAAAACAAACTCTCTTTAATCTTTTAAGGAAGAGTTTTGGTACACACCAATTGCCCTTACTTTGGCTTGTCGTTTAGTTCATAATCTTTTGCATAATGTGGTCTGTCTGAACATCAGATTTAAAAGCAGCCAGAGAAGGGAAAAAATGAGGGAAAGAAGGAAGGAAGGAAGAAAGGAAGGAAGGAAGAATGAAGTATCCTTCTTTAGATGTTTTCTACACAGTCTGGGATCACTTTACTTGCTGTGTCCTTTCACCTAGATGCCAGCCTGTAGTGATGGTGGGGAGGAGCAACTGACTGACAGTTTTCCACAAGTTCAAGTGAGCACACAGAGTATTCTGGATGCTTGCGTAACATTAGCATTAGCTTCTTCTTTTTAAAAAATGATCACAAGACCAGAAGGAAGAAGCATAAGAGCAAGTGCTATTGCATTATCTTCAACAATAATCTGCAAAGTCTGCATTGCATCCAAAAAAAAATGTTGACAATGTTGACCAGTTGACAAGAGCATAGAGGGGTTTCACAACATCAAAACATTCCTCTTTCTGTTGCCCTAAGTTATTCATTTGGTTGTTTCCTGTTTGCTGTCCTATACAATGATAAGTGGCAATGATTAGTACCATAGGGACTTGGTTAATAATCATATCTATAACCCTTGTAATGGTGAAGTGGATGTTTTGGAATACTGAATGCAATCCCCATAGATTTTACCTTTAAATGTTCATAATATTTAACAATAAAGCAGACACTGATTATCTCTTTGAAGCATTCCCACACTGAAAGATCTTTAAAAACATATTTATCAAAAACATGTCACACATTAGCAGTCTTCAGTGTGACTTTAAGTGCTCCAAAGTTAATTCAGACAATAAGGGTGTGCTCTCACCTGAATGTAAACCAATTTAAATTTATGTAAATTTATGAACAACCTAAGACCTCATGTTGCTCCTCTCAGCAATCAGTACAAAACAACATTATAACTAGTTACGTTTTAATTATAGTCTAGTCTGTTGTGGCAGTCTATCTAATATAATAATATTGTAGATTTTGAGTGGAGATACTTCACGTGGAAGTAACACTCTTGTCTACATGACAATGCCTGTGGCTGCCTGTCAGGGCTCTGGGGCTGTTAGTGAAATATAGCCAGTAACCCTGCTGGGACAACTCCCCTCTTTCTGAGTCCACTCTTGGAGTTCCTGAGTTGGGGGAGTTGGCCTGACAGGGGAGGTGTGCATGCAGAGGCCCAGATAGGGCCAGTGTAACCTTTCCTCCAGATTCCCTAACTAAGTTGAAGCTGACTGCCCCACTTATATCACAAACAGGCTGCTGTACTTAGGCCCGGGCTGCCTGTCATGCCTGCGTGCTAACTCGTTTTCCCTGTAACTCCTCCCTCTTCCCCTCTCTTCTTGCTAACTGCTGGCACTGAGGTTGCACAGCTATAGCTCTCGGCCCTCATTGCTCCCTGAGGTCATGCTTATGTGAGTCATACTGAGGCACGGCCTTCGATAGAGGCCAGGCGCTGCCAGAGCCAGGCCAACACACCTGCTACACTCCCTTCTGCTGCAGGCAAGCTGCAAACAAACAACAGTTTAGGAGTGACACAAGCTAAAATGTGGTCATATGAGGTTTTTATATAAATGAGAAAGATTCAAACAGAATGTTTCCTGTGTTCATGGAAATAACCTTGGGTCTACAAAAATGTTCACCGAAGGATCTTGGTTATATTGAATAAGTAATATTTTTAAAAGCATATCATGGCACTTCTTTCATATCATGGCTCCCAGAAGTTTGTTGGGGCTTCTGACACATTTTTGCCTTTGTCTAAATGCAGTTGGTGATGTAACAGCAAATGTAGGTCAAGACCATTTTGAATTCTCTGACATGTACTTATGGGAATGATCTCATAGAAATAGTCTGACAATAGGCCACATGAAAAACAGCTAAACAAACATTTACATTAACATTAAGTTTAAGGAATATGTTTAGTATCAGGAGAACAAAGCATAGTATTCTTTGCTTTACATCTAGGACAACAGGTTATCAGTACAGTACATCTGCACGTAGACTTGAATGACATGGAAAATCTTTATTTTGAGGCTCATGTTTCTACTAATGTAACTGTAAAAATAATGTATGAATCGAAAACCTAATATAACCTATATGTCTTTAAAGGGAGCTCTAAAGTTAACTCCACCACAGAGTTCCTTAAATAATAGCTACATCCACAGACCATGAGTGGGGTACACCAGTTAAACTGTTATATTTATCTTATTTTAATATTTATAGAGTTTAATATGTAACCTGGTTTACTATAAAACCACCAAAAATATCAAATGCTGGAAACATTTGAAAGGATAATAATAAATTATTAGGTGTTAAAGGCCACAGCGATAACATGGATTAAAAAAGCATTCTTACGTTGTGTTGTGTTGAATTTGTGTTTGTGTAATTAAATGTGAAAGTGATTACAAATGAAGAACTTGTTTATTTGATTTTTCTGTTAGAAAACTGCACAAATATTTCCAAAAACAAGATAGTATACTTCATCTCGCACTGGTGTTGCATTCAAGTGTTGTGGGAAAGGTGGGGCAAATGACTTACATGCCCCTTCACTTTCAAGGTATCAACAGAGCTTGAAAATGTTTTCTTGGATAGATGCTAAAGTTATATGTAATCAAGTCAAGGGAGTATGGCATTTTTCAATTGCCTAAAAATAATATGTTCATAATATGGTTCAACCTTGCCAACTTAAACCTTCTTTTAAAGGTTCTGAAAAGTGTAAACTACAACCTCAACTGACAACTTATGAATAACCTTTGCATACAGTGCAAAATCAAAGATTGAGCAGCAGGGGTAGCAGGTTTTTTTTTAGTCAGAATTTTTAAATGCAATCCTTAGTGTTCCCAGAACAAAATTATTGAATATTTTACATAATATTTTATCTAAAATCACCAAATGTTGTGACAGACTCAAAAAAACAGGAGTACCTACCTTTGTTGCAGTATAATATAGTCTCAACTTTGAAAATTTCAGAAACTACATTGATAAAAGAAATGATAAATTTTAGCCTTACAAATGCACAAGAAAAATATAGTAGGCCATATATCTGTTTTTGTGAATTTGCCTTGTGTATAGATTATTTGAAACTACTACTGTGTTGTCCATATCAGCTATTATGCGATTTCTCCTCATCAAAAGATATTAATTAATTTGATTCACAATGTTGGATGGCGAATAGAGTGTTTATTCGGTAATTTATTTATTTTAATGACTTATATGTTGTAGCATCTAGCCGTCGGGTCGTTTTCAGCAAGCTGTTCCCACAGCACGTGAACATATCATAGACTGGATCGACCTTTCGCCTAGTTTGTCGGCTGGCAGTTCATCGGGTTTACCCTGACACTGCTGACTCCGCGGCCACGCCCACCAACGGCCACGCACCCTATTTCCTCCAACCGTCCAGCGAGCACGCACTGTTCACGCGCTCTCTGCTCTCATATTGGCTGGAGCTCTGCACACACTCGATTATGATTGGCCGAGTGTTGCCACCCGCCGGTGCGTGTTGTGAGTTTTGTTTTTCTTTTTCTTTTTTTTCTCCTCCCTATGTTTTACACACACAGCTGAGAGAAAAGGCAGCCAGTCAGAGAAAAAAACCACCTCAACCATACCACAGTACAGGCAGCAGCACTGGCAACCGCCGTCTCTTTGTTCTATACTGGCTTTGACAACAGAAAAGTGTTATTTAAATATTTTATTCCTCAATGCCATCGCGAAAATTCACGGAGATGGACTCACACGGGGTAAGCCAATTCTTTAAACGGATATTTATTTTGTGTTTACCCTTCAGTCCAGTGTCAGTCAGTTGTTTACTGATTGATTTGATATTTCAGTACTCAAGCCAAGTCATCAGCTTAGTTCAACATTTTTGCTTATTTTTATTAATATTATTTGGTGTCACGTTAACATCCCAGTGGTTCCAACTCAACCCGACTAAATTAAAATGGAAACACTTTTTTTAATTACGCATTTATATTGCAATTTTGCATTTGCATTTTTATTGAGTCTTTAAAATGTAATACCCCATGTCTCTCTGTCTATCTGAACAAACAGTGTAATTTTGTACGGGAGCCTGTCAGTGTCACCTGGATAAGTTTTTGTTTAGGATCAATTACATGATTTGTTTACTGTAAAAATGTATATCAAAGTTGTAACGTGATAAGCCTACTTCCTGATGTAAACCCGCTTTATGGGGATTTCACATGGCTCATCTCGGCAGCACGTCACTGTTTGGTCTATATTTGGCAATGGGAGGTGTCCTGGCTCTGAGCCAAAGCTAGTGCATGCTGGGCTGGGGTGTAGTCACCAACACCCCCTCTCCCTTATTGGCAGCATCATGCAGTTTGGCCCGGGAACTTCAGATACAGGAACAGTGACTAAATATATAACTGGAAATTGGAAGATTTTTTTCCATTCTGGTTAGTAGAATAGAAACCTTCCCTTTTGTTTGTATTTATGCCATTATCAGATCTGAGTTGAAGTTGAATCAACACAGCGTATCATGCAGTTGAAATTACCCATGAAAACTAAATGATGTGGTAATACTTTTGTTCTGTCTCCTTTGTCTGATGTTTATTTATTGTTCGTTTCAGACTGAGTACATGGATCATTGTCGGTCCTACGCAAAGAGAAGGCGGCATGACAGCGAACAGTCTGCCTCCAGTGGAACCAATGGCCTGGAGTACACGGACCTGGAGGCAGCTGAAGCGCTAGTGTGTATGAGCTCTTGGGGCCAGGGCCTCTTCCTCAGCAGCAACAGGCCAACCCCCTGCAAGCCCAGACCGCTCACCCCGGCTTCGGACTCTTGCGACTCCCTCCTGCCGCCAGAAATTCCAGAGCCCCCAAAGGACTTTGTGTCTCTCTCCTCTCTGGTAAGACACTCCTTATATATATATTGAAATCACACAGAGCTGTAAAACCAATGAGATAACTGATGTTTGATTAGTAAAACATATTCCTGAATGTCAAGGCTGACATTAAACCCCAAGGCCTTTTGATTTAATGACTAAAGATATCTGTAGTTTATGACATGAGACTGGGGGTTGACCCTCAGACAAAGTTTGTCCTTGCAGATGCAGGGTCATAAAATCTCAGTTGATAGCTCAGAGTGATCATTATTCTTATGTGTACCTGCATGCCACTGGTGATACTTATCTCTGTAAACACAGTTCCCTGTAAAACTAGGGAAACACACCATGATATTATGGTATGGGGGTACCCTTCAATTCCTTTACCTTTATATCTCCCTTCATTTCTAGTGTATGACTCCCCCTCACAGCCCCAGCTTTGTTGAGACTTCAACATCCAGCACTGGCCTCCAGTCAAGCTCCAGCCTGGCTGTGTCTACAAAGCCCTGTGGGTCCGGACTCCATCAACCTGCCCAGGCACCCATTACTGAAAAGGCCCCTTCTCTCCCCCCTCCATCACAGTCCTGCAGAGCCATGGTGACCAGCGTCATCCGCCACACCGCAGACAGCACCCCCTGCCAACACAACATTCCAGTAGCCCCCAATTCAGAGAAAACTAGAGACTCGGTAATGGCTACAATGGTCTGCCAGCAGCAACAACTGCAACAGCAGCAGCAGCAACACATGACAAAGACTGAGCATATAATAACACATCCATCTCCTCCTGCTCCTCTCACACAGTTAAAGACAGAACAGCAGCCCAGTCCCTCAAAATCCTGTTTGGACAATGTCCCCACCCCAACTCTTCTCAATACTCAACCGCAAAACAGCCCACTCCCTCCCTCTGTTCCTGCAACCCTGTCCCCACCTCCAGTCACCAGCCCTCAAATCATATGCCAGATGTTCCCTGTCAGCAGCCAATCAGGGATAATATCAGCCTTCATCCCCAGCGCGGTTCAGACATCCAGTAGTGGAATTCGGACTGCCACCACACCCATCCTCCCCCAGCCCACCTCAGCTAACACCACCCCTGTCCAGCAGTCCCTCATCGTAGGCTCAGCAGTGCCACAGGGCACGGTGATGCTGGTTCTCCCTCAGTCCTCAGTCTCTCAGGCCCCTCACTGCTCTCAGACTGTCATGACCCTGGGCAACACCAAGCTGCTACCTCTGGCCCCGGCGCCTGTGTATGTGCCAGCGGGGCCCAGCAGCAGCACCGCAGCCACAAAAATGGACTTTTCCCGCAGGAGAAACTATGTCTGCAACTTTCCAGGCTGCAGGAAGACATACTTCAAGAGCTCACACCTCAAGGCTCACCTTCGAACACACACAGGTGAGCATTTACAGCACATTCAAGAGTTTCGTAAAATTGTGTGAGGATGTGGAATAGAATGTGTGTACAGCAGATGAGTGCTGCATCCTGTTTGTAAAGCATTCCTTCTTTGGTCTTGTTATTCTTGATGGAAGAGAGTGAGCTCATTGTTTTATGTCAAACAGGGCACTGTGACGCGTGAAGATTTTATGACTGCAGTGTGACTCACTTGCTGACTCCCTACTCCATGTTTTTCCTCTCTTTCCCTCTCTTAGGTGAGAAGCCTTTCAGCTGCAGCTGGGACGGCTGTGATAAGAGGTTTGCCCGCTCTGACGAGCTCTCCCGTCACCGGCGAACACACACTGGGGAAAAAAAATTTGTCTGTCCCGTGTGTGACCGGCGCTTCATGCGCAGTGATCACCTCACCAAACATGCACGACGCCACATGACCACAAAGAAAATTCCTTCTTGGCAGGCTGATGTTAGGAGCTTGAACAAAATGGCTGCTGGCAAAACACCTCCCTCAAAACCTGGCCTTGCCACACTAAGCATGCTGGTACCTGCCAGTTCAAAGTAGACAATGAACACTGCCACCCTACCCACTCCCAAGATGCCACAGGGATATAGGGAGCAGCCAAGCACACAATGTTGCTGCTCTTTTACTCATGGGAATGAAAAAAAAAAACACATGCACTGGACTCTTTATTTCCTCTCTACTGCTCATTTGTATGTGTATTTTTCTCTAAAGGATTCTTATGTTTACTTTGATATAAGTGATGCACCCTTGCCAAAGCCTATGTATGAAGTTTGTCTTATACATTTCACTTTCTCCACCCCTCCCACAACACTTTTTCTTTATTGTGTTAATATATATATATATATATATATATATATATATATATATATATGTGTCTATGTGAATGTACTGTTTGTTTTACTATGAAATGCATTTATTTGTCATATTTGGGAAAATATTGACACAAAACAATGTAAATATAAATATTAATCAACAATACCATGATTATACTTTGATTGTATCTCCCTGTCTAACTTTTCATATTATTTAATACATATTTGTAATAAAAAAAATATGAAACAAGTCATTTTCTGTTCTCTTTGTGACTTTCCAGTATCTAATCCTGGGAAAATGATGTTGGATCAAAGTATAGTCACTAATCTTTGGTCATCTCACACAGAAATGCAGTGAGTCTGCCCACATCCTGTGTGCGTCACACAGTGACTGCCCCCCACCGCCGCCCCCCTCTTGTCAGCTGAAGCTCACTCGTGTCCTTTAAAATGTGCTGACTAGCCTGTGGGTTGCTTCCTGCTGGCTGAACGATTTTTCTTTTTTTTTTTTGGTGTTATAAAAGCTCTTGTGAGACCATCTGCAGACATTTTGTCCTATTCATTAGCTCAGAGCCAGAATGCTTGATGAGTCAGGGCAGACAAAAACAGACAGAGATTTGTTTGCCTTGTATTGGAGTTCATTAACAGATCACTTGAGCCCATTCAGCCCTGTCACATGGGAACAAGGAGGCGGTGGGGCTGTGTGGTTGTTGCATAATACAGCACCAAATTTCTTTCATTCAAAAATCTTTTATCAGTCTGGTATATTTTTGCAAAGAACTGACTATACTGAGCCTACCCTAGAAAAATACATGGACTAAGAGAAAGTGGTTTTAAGTATTCACACTTCACCTGCAGACAGTTCTGCAGTTTGCAACTGAAAATTTTATAATGTAAACTATAAAAAAGAAACTATGGTTCTGGACTAAGACTGGCTCCCTGTGATGCATCCATCCTCTCTCATACACACATTCATAAGCAGTGGTCCCACACCTAGTAACAGCAAACCCCTTCCAATCAGACAGTGAGAAATATGAACTGTTGGGGGTGCGACCAATCACCTCTCTTCCCTGCATACCCGCCCCTTTGCCTTACTGACCGACATACTTACTGGCCGTGTGCCACCTGAGCGGTGGTCTGCAGCGACACCTGCGGGTAGGGAAATGTCACATCACAATTTAACAGATGATACAGTATTAAGACACGATCGCGAAAACATGTAGGTGACAATATTTTCACACACTTCACATTTGGCGTTTATAGATAGATAGATAGATAGATAGATAGATAGATAGATAGATAGATAGATAGATAGATACTTTATTTATCATGATTATTGCCTAAACATGAAACTAGGTTGTTTGTCCTTTGCCAATGCTATTTGTAACCAGGGAACTCAAACTTTATTCATCTGCAAGGACATTAAAATTTCAATACCAAATATTCATGATATGATTTGATGATTTTTGGTGACAAGGAGTAATTATCTTTATTCTCTTTCGTCTTTTGTCCCCTTCAGTTTATTTTGTTGCACTATAATGTTCCTCTGTGTATCACTTACTAAATGAATGTGACAAAAATGACATTTCTTTATAAAAGTAACATAATTTCTTTTGCTCATAGGAAGATTAATTACAGTAGCATATAATTGAGAGGTTTGCTTTTAAGGAATCATAGTTATTAATGAGGTGGTATTGTCAAAAGGTCCACTGTACTCATCCAGACTTCACTGTATGATTCCAAACAGATTATCTTAAATTGTCAATTTGAGTATCAAGTGTAATTTTCTTTAAACAGTAAATTAAATGTATTAAATGTACTCATTTACATTCGGTTAGGAGCACATAAGTGGTATAGTGTAACTATAAAGGACATTTTAATGGCAAGTTCATTTGTCCACTAGGAAACAAAACAAAAATAATTGATTTGTGGGTTGAATCGATAAATAATGTAAAATTTTATATTTTCCTCAATTAACAACTAATTTCAGTTGGATTTAATTAGGGAGATATTCATGAAAATTTAAGTATTTTAAGCAATATGGAGTACGAATGGCATAAATCTATAAACATGGCAAGGGTAGGCCCTTTTTGTACTAAAATGTGTTAGTAGGATAAAATAACTGTAAAGTATTCACACCCCTTGCACATTTCATCGTGTTATGTAAGTAATTTAAAATTGATAAAATGTAGTTGTTTGGCAATAAAATAACCTATATACTTTTTTTTACTACTTTATTACAACTGAAATCTCTCATTCATTAACTGTAGCCTAAGTATTCAGACCTTTTAGTCCTGGTACCCCACTCTGAATTATAGTTCATTCCGTTTATTTTAATTATCCTGGATTCATGGTAATATGTGGCAAATTCTATTGCCTGGACATTGCCTGGAAGACACTGTAAGTGCAATGATCTGATTTTATTTATGTTTATGGCATATTGATAATTGTTTCTTACTCTTATGTAATTAAATTAATTATGTAATTAAAATAATTTAATAACGTGTCGAATGTGCATGAGAATGTTTCTCGGGGAGGTGTTTTCTTGTTGCATTGGCCCTCGTGTTGCTATGGTTACATCAACACAACCGGGTAGTTTTTCTGCCGTTTGGAGATTGTGGCCGCACAACACGAGCTAAAACACATTCAACTGAAGGTAAAAACGTGACAAATGCTGCGTACTTTTCGTATTTTATTGAGACCAGATTGTAGCAGTTAATGTGTCAAATTTTAACTTCGCCTCTAAACTGTTTTTTTGGACGTCTAGGTCAGAAAAGTTGGCCGGTAGATTTTGTCCGTTAACTTCAACCACCTCAACGTTTCCTCCTCGCAATCACCAGCATGGAGGTCGGAGAAAAGTTAAAAGAACTAGACATGACAGTGGATGAAATCGACAGACTGACAAAAGCTTTCAAAGACGAGAAATTCCGGGGACTGCTACGCGAATACGCACAAGAATTATCAGACCCCGAGAATAAGAAAAGGTATGAAGAGGAGATCAAACTTTTGGAGCAGGAGAGAGGAAACACCATCGAGTTTATCAACCCGGAACCCTTTAGGTCTCTCAAAACGAGCGTGAACGGCAGGCAGAAGTGTTTTATCAATATCTGTGCCAATGATAAAATTGGTAGGCCTGCATGTGAGTGTGGCGTGTCGGAGTACGGCCGCAGAGGGCAGTGCTGGTCCTTACCTCACAGTCTGCATCCAGGGAGACCAGACACAGATCCAAAAGGGAACAAGATTGTGATCTATGATGTTATTTTCCACCCTGACACTCTCTACATAGCGAGCAAAAATAAGAGATTCATGGATATGGTCGACAACACGGCCATTCAGGGGATCCAAAATGCTTTTAAAGTGACTCTGGACAAAAACAACGTGCGAGAGATGAATACCAGGTACAAGGGCACCCCTCGGCCTTGTGTCATCCGAAAACCCATACCTGGATACAAAGCCAAGGAGCCCTCAGAGAAGCCTGACCCTCTTGCCTTCCCGTACCCAGATGAAAAAAGACCTACCACATCCTCACAAACAAAACCTACAGATTCTCCTGCAACAAAAAACAGCAGTGATGTCCAACCTGCAAGCTTCCAGATCCAGCCTCAGAAAACTAAAGAGCCAACCAAACCGAACTACACCATAAAATATCGATCTTTTGTTGACCTGCAGGACTTTAGATGCTCCAGAGACTCAGCCAGGAGCCCCAGGCCCAAAGAGATAGTGGTCACCATCGACATGCCGCTGCTGAAGTCCGTCACAGACACCAGCCTTGAGGTAAAAGAGAGAAGCCTGCTGCTAGACTCCAAGAAACCAGCTTACAGACTGGAGCTGCCTCTAGCCTACCCTGTGGATGAAGACAAAGGAGAGGCAAAGTTCAACAAACAGAGAGGACAGCTGACAGTCACACTGCCTGTTCTCCCATCTAATGAGGCTTTTGATTTTGCTGTAGGGCCTGCTACCACTGTTAGCGATGCTCAGGGTGTAGGTGACGGTGAAGGGAAGGGAAAGGAAAATGAGGAGGTTAAATGTGAGGAGCAGAAGACGGGAAGTAAGGAAGGTGAGGAGGACCAAACAGGTGAGGAGAAAAAGGAAGTTGAAGAGGAGGATCTGAAGCAGCAGACAAAGGTAGAGAAAGGTGAAGAGGAGGAAGGAGATGATCAGATGGGGAAAGGTCAGGAGGGCGTAGAGGGGGAGGAAAGTGTATTCGGTGAGGAGGAAAAATTGAGAAAGCTGAAGAGAAAAGAAGAAAAAATTGAAGTTAAAATTGGTTTGGAGAGGGAGGCAAAATGGCAGATGAAATACAGAGAAGGCCAAGAAAGTGATGCAGAGGAAAGAAGAGTTGAGGATCGAAAAAGTGACAAGATTTCTGATGAAGTAGAGGAGGAAGAATTGAAAGAGCAGAAACAGGAAAATGAGAAAGAAGATGGAATATTGACAGAAAGCCAGTCCCTTTTAATAACTTCTGAACACGCCTGTGACACAAGTGTGGGGGGAGAAGTAAATCTGAACTCATGTTTGGAATCAACACCCAAAATGAAGACTTTAGACATCCAAGAGGAGGCTGAAAAGACAAAAGAAAATGTACAAGGAAGTGAACAGGTAAGATAAATCCTGACAATCTGGTTGAAGGTAGAAATGTGATTGACCTTATCTACTAAATTCTTTCACCTTTTATATGTCTCTGTTCTAGCTGGAAGCAGATGCTACATTTCTGAATCACACATCCAGTGAGGAGTCCTACACTACTGCTGCCATTACTGCTTCTCCCACGCCAGCTGTGGCCACCACTTCAAACCACAACACTGTAAAGGACTGCTGCATTTCCCAGGGGACTGAAGCGCCTGCAACAGATAAAGCAAATGAGTCGAGTAGGGTTTCAGATTCAGGAAAGCAGGAGGAGACGAAGGACATGGACGAGGATGACTTGCCGAAAGAAGAGATCTTTCAAACTGGAGAGCATGACAACAAGTCACCACCAGCCCTATTGAGGGAAATTGATAAAGATGGAAACGAAACAGTCATCAGTGATCATTCCACTTCTGTTGGGTTCATCTTCCAAAACAGCCT